GAGTTATTTGAGTGAGAGAGAGAAAAAGAGGAGATAGAGAGAGGGGAGGACTTCTCATACCTGTTTCGGGACCTTAAATTTAGCAACTTTGGCCGCGATCCATTTGCGGAGCTCCTCAGGAGTCGTCTCCTCTCCATCTTTCACCACCACCGCTAGACCAATGTCTTGCCCGTACATCTCATCTGCGATGGCAAAGCAGACAGCTTCTGCCACAGATGGATTCTGAGACACGACATTATCGAGCTCTACTGGGCTGATTTTTTCACCGCCCTTGTTTATGAGTTCTTTGATTCTACCAGTGATAATGACGTACCCGTCTTCGTCTTGCTTGCCTTGATCGCCCGTTCTGAAAAAGCCATCTTGGGTGAACGAGGTCTTGTTTGCTTCGGGGTTGTTAAGGTATCCTTTCGTCACGTTCTCGCCTCGTATGCAGATTTCTGCCTCACCACCCTGGGGGACCTCGCTCCCGAAGGCGTTAAGTATCTTTACCTCAACGCCTTGGCCAATACCTACGCTTCCCGGGTATCTTTTAGCTGGAGGCAGAGGATTCGATGTCATCTGATGAGCACCTTCGGTCATTGCGTAAGCCTCTAAGACTGGGGCATTGAAAGCTCTTTCGAGTTCGGAGAAAGTCTTGGGAGACAAAGGAGACGAGCATGACCGAATAAAACGAATCTCAGGCATGTTTGACGGAGGCTGAAAAATTTCCGGAGTCAGCAAGTACTTTCTGGCAATAGAAGCTCGGATCATGAAATCGCGTTGGGGAGCAAAGACGATACAAAAAGATCTTCTTGTTCCGAAAACATGTCTTGCCAGTCACGGCGAAGAGGTGCGGACCACAAAGTGAGATGTTAGGCAAACCATACTGGATTTCGTAGTAGAATCTGATGGATCGTTGGAACAGCTGTATACCAATTGGCTTTATAGGTGATGAAATTGTCCCAGAACTCCGAGGCTGAAAAGCGCGACGGCACTATAACAGATCCGCCGGAGAAAAGTGACGCTAGAAGACCCGCGAGCAGTCCATGAACATGGAAGAGAGGCATGACCAACAACGTCCGGTCGTTCGAGGTCAATTTGTAGGTGGTTTGGACGTTTTCTGTACTGTTCAGTTACTGCACGATCCACATACCAAAGTAATCAATCCATCACGCACTCATTGTCCTTGTTAGGTTCCGATGAGTCAAAGGTACCTTGAAAAGACTGTCAGTAAAACGACCAGCTGTGCTTTTATCTATATCCAGGACGCACAGCTTTCGGTCTCCCAGTGGTACCGCTTGTGTGTAAAACAAGCGCGATATCATCTGGCTGCGCCTTTTGGACTTCCTGACCCTCTTTCCCTGATAGCTTGCCCGAATCTTTAATTTCCAGCACTACCTCATGACCGTTCCAATAGCATTCAGCAACAGCAGCCTTATACTTTCGCGCTGCACGCACGGCGGGTCCGTCTTGATAAAAGGATCCCCGAGGAACGAGAGTGACGGCAGAGCTGAGGTCATCGATATAGAATTCGAATTCTTCTTGTTTGTAAGCTGGATTAAGAGGAGCGGCGATCGCTCGCTGCCAGGATGCGGCAAGAAAAGCGACGACGAACTCATAGGAATTTGGTAAAGCTATTGACACGGCAGCTTGAGGGGCGATGCCGAGGTGTGCAAGATTTTTCTGGAAGGTTAAGACGTGAGAGTTGAGCTGTTGGTAAGATATCGAAAGGGTATCGGGCTTGCCGGGCACAATGATAGCTGGCGTGTGCCCCGTAGTTGGAAGCGTGGTGGACAAGGTTGCCATTGATGCTGCTATGTACAGGATGATGAGAAAGCTATAGCACAAACATACGTAGAGACTTGTACTAAAGCGAGTAGTTGAAAATTGAGGTCGATTAAAAGCAACAACAATTCCACTTAACTATCTGAAGTGACGTCGCTAATGAGGCAACTGGAAGAGTACACTTTTGGACTGAAAGAATTTGCAGGGGTGAGGTTTTAGGGTACAAGGGTACAAAGGTTCGAGAGTTGTTACCAGTGGTGCAGCATTCGGCAAGCCTACAGTAAGGTACTATACCGTACATGGTAAAGTACTTTACCATGTTATATCAGGCAACGGCCACTAGGAGAATTCACGAGCCGGTCCGGTCCCAGGCTTATTGGGGTGTTCATCTCATTCATTGATCTTGATTGAGACACGCAGTCTTGCATTGCTCTTCTGATAATCTCGTCTCATCATGCCTTCCGATCCTGCTGCCAGGCCTGCACGACCCGGTCTTTCCCTCTATGCAAACCTCCTCGATCCCTCGTCCAACAAGGATTCCACTCCGGGCACCATCTCACGAGCCCCGGTAGTATTCAAGCAACCTGCCCAAGAGGACCTGCCACAAGATAGAGTAGCAGCAGAAAAGCAGCAGATAAATGCCGGTAGATATGAGCCTGCTTCTTTGTGAGGTCGCTACAATTCTGCCGTTTGGTTTCGCTCACACTTTGCGCTTTCTTGCAACATACAGCTTCTCTACGCTTTCAACCAACTAAAAGGCCACATTTGTCAACCCAGAAATCAAAGCCCAAGTCTTCCACCTCAAGACTCCCGGCTGCAGCTCCTTCGACTCTCCTGCCAGGTGTGGTTCCATCCGAATCAGCAAGCGTGACAGCACGTCCTCCTGCGAAAACTACGCTTGCAGATTGGACAGCAGAGGGCGAGGACAATGATGTCAACGGATTCTATAGCGGTGAGAAGCGACAGCGCGGCGGTAGAAAAAAGCGAAAAAAGAATAAGGAAGAATCCCATGTCCCTCAGAATTGGGATGACATTTACGATCCATCCCGTCCCAATAATTATGAAGATTATAAGCATAGCGATGAAAGGATCATGGAGATCAGAGAATGGAAAGACAGGCTTTATGCACATCGATTGACAAAGAGACGTGACAGTGATTCAGATAGTTCGGGCAATGAGTACAGGCCTCAGCTGGACAGTGTGTTTCTTTCATCTCTTGTGTCAGTACACGCTGAATACCATTAGAGCAATTCGCGCCTCCAGGTTTATCTTTCGCGCCTCCTGTATCGTTCGACGATGGTGGTAAATCGCAACATGCTCCCCAATCAGTTGAAGTGCTGAATGATGCAACTGGCGATGATGTCTATGCTCGACGAATTTATCTCCCAATATTTGGCAGTCCAGCAGAGTCTCTCAACTATAAACCGCCTGCTTCTCAAGTTGAGCCTCTCCCTGTTCCACTACCGCCGCTGCCACCGCCACCAGCTTCAGATCCACCCCTGACATTGAATAATCTACCGCCGCCACCCGCAAGCATATCCCGAGCACCTGTGCGTTACAACCTTCCTGCCGCGCCATCCGAAATACCATCTTCGGAAGCCGAGCTCGAAGTTGCTTTAGGGATCGACTTGAGAGAAGAAGAGGAAATGTCGGATGCTGCTCCACGGTCTCTTCGACCTGGCCAGAAAGGATTTGCGGAGCGCTTGATGTCGAAGTATGGATGGAGCAAGGGTTTGGGTCTTGGTGCGAGTGGCTCTGGCATTGTCAATCCTCTGCGTGTACAGGTTGAAAAACAGAAGAAGAAACCTGACTCGGAAGGTGGAGGCTTTGTGGGACCAGGTGGTAGAGGCAAGATCATTGGAGGTAAGAAGAAGGGCGGCCATGACGCGGAACCGGAAGACGGTAGATTTGGCGTCATGAGTGAAGTGGTCGTTTTACGGGGAATGGTCGATGGCATGGACCTAGACGCGGAGATGGAAGGGGCAGGCGATGGCGGCCTGATGCAGGAAATTGGAGAGGAGTGTGGAAACAAAGTCAGTATTACCAGGAGATCGGCTCACTTCTTGCGCAATTGCTCACAGCGACAGTACGGCCGTGTGGAGAGAGTCTTCGTTGATCGCAGCGACGCCTCCAAGGCCCCAGTCTTTGTCAAATTTACCAGTCAGCTGTCTGCGTTGAGGGTATGTTCCATCCGAGGTGTATTTCTGGACAGCGCGCTGACCCGTTGCAGGCTGTGAACGCTCTCGAAGGGAGGATCTTCAACGGGAACACTATTTCAGCGAGGTTCTTTGACGACGAGAAATTTGAGGCTGGCAACTATGAGTAGAGAGTCCATAATCTTAGCCAGTCCAGACAGAAAACCATTCCAGCTCGAAGAAATTTCAAGCTCGGTTGATCAGCAGAGTATCGTCCAACAGTCTGTCTCCATTCTGCCTTCTCCTTCCAGGAGCCCCGGCATATTTTCGTCCGAATTGGTAACAACAGTGCCGGACTCTGACAGTTTAGGCTGGCTGGTGAAGAACCGAACAGAGCTTTTAATTATCATCGGAAATCATCACCTAGCGACAAGAAGTGAGACCCTTGAATTGGTTTGCACATTACGGCAATCCTGTCAGAAAAGTATCAACATGTGCCGAGAGATACGCCTCCTCCATCATACCATTCGAGCAAAGTTATGATTTTCAGCCGTATACTGATGCTTCAACTGCCGAAAGAAGTCTCAATATACGAAAGAACCATGACACATGTTTGGTCTACCACGACCGCGTGCGGATATCCAAACCACCTTTTGCTTCTCCTGGCTGACCAACAACAGTGAATGAAGCAGGTATACACTATTTTAATATTGAGCCAGTTCAGCGTGTCGAAAGGACTATGTACGTCTCGAAAAACGCACAGGGCAAGGGTTTACCTCTCAACCACCACGACCAAACAAAGAGGCCCAAGGAATGAGAAAGCCAGTCTGTACAAGCTGCCAGGTCACACAAACGCCTGGAAGTGAGCTCGGGGAAGCTTATATCTCGACCTTATTGTTACATCTCCCTGCCCTCCCTGAAGGAAGGAACCATGAACTGACTGGTCGGTGGGCCTTCATCCTGTTACCTTTGTGACTCCGTTCCCAACTGTTGTGGCCCTCGACCCAACGCACTTGCAAACATGAACAATTGGCCTTGGTAGTCATTGTAGCAGAGACTGCCTTCTTAGTAAAACAGAAAGCTTGTGAACCAACAAGACGGCTAATATGCCGGTCTCGAACCCAGATTTCCTCGCTTCTCTTCGGTGTCGATGTGCCAAACCACGTAGTTCGGTAGTCCTACAACTTGGTAACCTGCTCGTTTCGCCATTTTGGCAAAACCCTCTGTCTCGGCCTGGTTCTCAAAGGCGTAGCATGGGAAATTAATGCCTTGGCGAACCATTAGCATATGTCTTGTGAGGATCTGCCCGATGTGCTTCCACCCACCTGATCTGTGTACATCCGCTTTCACTAGTATATTCACGCCGCCAACTCCATCTAACTCCACCTCCTCATCTTTGTTATTCCGCCAATCTCCCAGTGTAACGAGATACTTCCGTTTGGTGTTGTACTCCTTGTAGCCTACGTTGACATTAAATTCGATTCCCTATGTTGAAGGAAACAAATACAGCACATACCCTCAGCCAAAACCACATCCTTATCTAAGGAGTCTGCGAGCTTGCGACCTGTGTCAGACTCGATCCAGGAGTTGTAATCGACTGTATAGATTAGTAGTGTTTCCTTGACTATGGACTGGCAAAAACTTACATCGACCCTCTATATCACGGCCATTCTCGTATCGGTGAAACCAGATATCTGCAATTTCAGTACTAATTCCACAGTTGCATGACAAGTGCGTACATACTTGGTACCAGGACGTCTTTGTTGTGATCCATGAAATCCTCCAAAATCTTACCAGGGCTGTCCTGGATATCAACATCTCTCCAGTACACCCAAGAGTGTGTTGGCTTCAGTGCAGTGTAGAGAAGGTAATTTCGAGCCCTAGCGATCGCTTTCCGCCTAGGCCCTTGAGCCTTGAATCCGTGTCTCTCTTCGACGCTCTGGCCGAAGATAGCTCCAAAATCCTTTTCTACGATCAGTGCGCTGTGAAATGGTATCTTATCGGTGCGCTTCTGTACTCTGTCCAGCTCTGCCGACAATACGGCCAACGTATCGTCTGTGGAGTCGCCTACGAGGAAGGCAAGGTCGATAAGATCATGGGGATATGTAAGCTCAGACAGAAGGTCAAAGTATTTGCTAAGGTAGGGGGCGGCGTCTCGCAGCGGAGTCAGAATCAGAACGCGCTCCTCGTTGACAGCAGCCCTGGGAGTGGACATGATTCCATTAAGATCGACACTCTGTATCGATGCCGACTCGACTTCGATGGGCGCGTGATGATTATAGAGCACTGGGGTCTGTAAGTGTGCGTGCCACTGTGCTTGCTCGTTCGTCGTCATGGCCATTGGCGCTTTCGCGGGACCCCAGCAATAGAACCTAACGGTCAGGCGGAGATGGTAAGCCTTCTACCACACAGCAGTCCAATCTTCGAATTCGAGATTACCTTTGCATCTCTCGCGACGAAGTACTTATGCCCCCCCATAGTATCAATACCACCACGGCTAGAGCGACGAAAGAGAGTGTTCGAGGCCGAGTGAGGTAGTGAAGGACAGATCTATAAGGTGGCAGGCGTGCTTTTGTCGACTTCCAGGTCACGCCGCCCTTGGGAAGCAGCATAGCGTTGGAGGAGGAGGTCCAGAGGCGAACGCCTCGTTCGAAGGTGAAGTCGTGCACGTTCAACAGGGGGTCAATACGATTGAAATGGAAGAGCTCAACGCTCTTTTCGCACGACTGCTTTAGCGTTGAACCATGTATAGAAACATGGAGGCCAGGCAATGGATTGGGAATCGAGGGTTGATAGTCGAAGAATTATTGGGTGTTGGTCCCCTGGTCACTTAACAATAGACCAAGCATCGCTTGGCATTTCAAGGCACTATTGTTAGCGCAATTTACGATACCGTTTTCAATTTAAATTCACTTATAGAGTATCTCATGGAGTACAATACGTATTATTAACCCTTCCCTGTGGTCCCTGGGTAAACGGCATGTAAGCTCTTTAAAATTATTCTTGCTATCATACAGTACCAAATACTGGACTGAGCAGATGTCTTGGTCTCTAACCACAGCAAGTATCTGAAAGGCACACTCAAAGTTGGAAATTCTCAGGAGCGCACTTTCTCTGCTTGATGATTGATTGTCTTCGAGCCTGGTACGATGTAAAAATCTCTTGACGTGATTGTCCAAGAACTAGCATGAGGGTTTGGCTACATTGCTGCACTGCCGCAGAATTCATACAGCCTTTTTTACTCGTCGTCGTCTCTCTAATTATATCAGGGTGATAAGCAGTTAAATAATACCTAACTCCTTGTTCTCTTGAAGCCAGAGACGTTACGCCATCGCGCGCGAGACCCTCCCCATTCACATGTCCGCGATGCTGCATCACATGTTGTTCGGCTTAGGTGTTGAAAAAAGCGGACATCATCGCTGTGAGAGTTGTCTTCTCTTGCATTCCTCATGCAAGGGCGCAATCTTCATGTGTGCCTCGTACTCGCTCCTACCAATAGGTCAGATCGGGTACCCGAGGTGTCCGTAGAAAATAGAATGAGTAAGGTCCTTAGTCAAGCGTACCACTCACTAGCTCCTTTGGCAGTCGTCAGAGACCGTAGAACATGTCTTCACAGTAATTCTAAATCTCGAGTGGTCGAAGACCGGGTACTTCTCGTTGCATTGAAATAGACCATGCCCGCCCACGGCCGTCATAGACTGACTTTTGATACTGAAAATCGATCAAGTCCAAAAAAAGATGTGTGCTTCGATGTCCATTTTTGATACCCGAAAGTGGGTGGGACAGTACAGAGCAAAGCAATCTGCCTTCCCAACCTGATAGAGGCTTTCCTCCGGCTGTGGAATAATTTCATGGATCTTGTATGGAGGCTAGACTCGGTGTGTGCGCACTCGTTCAGAAGTGTGGACACCGTACTTGACGGTAGTATACGTACGCATGGACGTCCATTGTTCGAGATTAGCCGGGTGGTCCGTTCCAGGTCCCACATTGCTGAGCTTGCTGCATCAATGCCGCAATTTTTTCTTTCAACGCTGCATTTGCTGCTGCTTGGGCCTCGATGATTTTGTCCTGCTCCTCGATCACTGTAACCTGGTGCTTGTGGTAGTTTAAAACGGCCTTCAGTGTTCCATTTTTCGTGTAGCGTGGCTTTTGGTTTCTTGGCTGACATCCAGTCAAGAATTGTGAAGGGAGACGTTGCTCCATTTCTGCTATCAGAGAAGAAAGCTCGCTCCGCCGTTTCTGTTCAGCCCTCTTATGGGCGACCTTGCCCTCCTTAACCTTGTGCTGGACCACTGGATCCATGTCTGAATCGTCAGTCTTGGGGGTAGGGCGTCGCGATGAGGGGCATCGCACAGACGGCTTGGCTCTTAACGTCTTGGTAGACGCCGATGGCGCAGTCTTGATAGAACTCGAACCCCCTGAAGAGTGTACATCATAGTGAGAAAGGCATTGACGCTTCTTTCCAAATGAAAAAGTATCTTCGGGATCCCCCCTGAGCCTGGGCCGTTTATTGTTCTCGCTTGCAAGTAATGCGCTGTCGCTTGAGGACCGATCGTTATAGTGTAGAGCTCCATGCGCTGCCTGGTCCTCAGACGAAAGCAGGACCTGGAAGCATCCTGGCCACTGACACGGAATGCGCCGTCGAGTATCTGCAACCTCAGGCTCCTCAAGCCTCGGCGCCTTGCGAGCCGAGTTGTGTTCGAACGGAGACGGTACGAAAATTCTTTGTGCGGGACATGGCACCATTGGGGCATTGTACCGGTTGGTAGACGTCACAATAGAACCAGCATCCACTCAGCACGGCAGCTGGAAGTCTCTCTGAACCATGCTTGTATTATCGTTGGGCAATTGTACCTCACTAAGGATTTGTTTAATAGGCGGCAGTGTTTTCCACGGTCAGAAGTCAGCCGTGTCCGAGATCCACTGTCTTCGGGGACGGCAGACTTACACCGGCATTGTCATGTCTGCAAGAATGCCAGTCAGACGAATTTCGCAAGACATATAGGAGAAGCAAGCACAAAATCAAGAAGACATGCCGAAAACATGTTATGGTAAATACGTTTCGTGCGCGGGGTTGGCCACAGATTTCTGGCAGGTATGGTAGAAAGACCGAGAAGCTGCCTATAGCCAACCTTCCATCCTAAATCCGGAGTCCTCAGGGAAGACGAGTAAGAAGAGCGAGCATTTCTAGTGGCATGTTTACACTGCTTAACAAATGTGACGTGATGCATGTGCTGCTGCACCAAGATGTTCAGGATCGGTCTCTTTTCTTCATTGACTGTTGAGCTGTCCTTACTGCGAGTGGCAGGTTGGCAACCTGATAAAATACTGCACGACATCGAAGGAGAAGGAGGATGTGGAATCCCGGCGATCTGTTAGCGTAATGCATATTCAATAGATGGTCCGCTTTTACTATATTCTCAATTGTGATATTTTCATCAATGATCTCTGTATGCATTAATATGCGTTGCAAAGGATGCAAAAAGGCTGTATCATGTCGCGAATAACTGCCATGTTATTATATTAGCGATGATCTCATAAGGGTTTTGCGGTGCTTTCAGTGTAGAGAATCGTATTATGCTTTTGTCTAACCCTAAGCAGGAGGACAAAGAGCGTGTGGTAAGGTACAGAAATGACGAGCCAACAATATGAACATGGATCCGAGAACACCGATGAAGGAGCATGCAACTGTCAGCTCATGCGACTTTTATAGCACCACGAATAAGACCAGAATTGCCTATACTAACAGGCCCTGCAAGCAATCCACCATTATGTCATACTTCAAGAGTCCTTGCTAAGCTAGGCAATCTATTCTCCAACTTCTCCGCACCTCACTTCTCAACCGCGTATGTATCTCGCTTCGAAACAATGCATCGCTCGCACATTTGTCTAAATGAATGAACCTTCGCTCAATGCCCAATGATCCATCATGCAGGCAGGAGAACCACGAGGGACATAACAATTAGGTAGCGGCGCCACTAAAAATCTCAAAACGGAGAGGATTAAGGAAAACTCTACAGAACAAGTTGTAACAGCCCTGCGATGAAGGATGTACCACCAATGACTGCGGGGAAGTTGACCTCCGTGTGGCCAGCAGAGCTCTTGCCAGTGGGCTTGGAAGTGCTTGAGGCCGATGCCTTGGTACCGGCACCTCCTGGCTTGGAAACGCTACCTGAGCAAACGAAGTTACCCTTGATGACCTGCTTGCTAGTTTTGTCGGCTTGGAACGCGCTGCAGTCCAATTGACCAGAACTTTGTATGTTGAAAGCACCTTGCACCTGAGTTAGAGTAGGAAGATCGACCCTACAACCCGGTTAGCTCTCGGTATACTTTCGACAATATATTCAAAGACACAATACTCACTCGGTGAAGTTGCCGTTGAAGTCCAGGGCACCTTTGATAACCGAAAGCTTCTGGAATCCGTTGATTTGCTTCAACATAGTGTTGTTTGCAATCTGGTAGCTGCCGTTAACGGACACAAGCCCTGGGATCGAAATGTTGGTCAAATCAGTATTGTCGACGAAGATGAGACCGCCAACAGTGGTCAGGTTGGGTGCTGCAAAAGACGTCATGGTGTTGCCGTAGAATCCCAAATCCTGTGTGACATTGGCAAGCGATGGCAGGAGAACTGAACTGCAATTGCGGAAAGTCATATTCTGAGCAGTCTCGAGCATGGGGAAAGTAGTAGTGAGCCCAGACACGAAGCCATCGTTAGCCTCAATGTCAAGGGAGTTCTTGATGCTGGTGACCTGCAGACTGATGTTTTGCAAAGCCGCATTGTTGTTGACATTGAAGGTGGAGACCGACTGCAAGTTGTTGATACCTTGCAGCGAGCTAAGTCCTGTGTTGGTGATGAGAACGCTATCAGCTTGGCTAATGCCAGAGCCTCCAAATGACATCTGTTGTAACGCGGGTAGAGCGGTGAAGTTCATCGACGAGACCTGCGTGAGTTGAGGAAACGACAGCTCGGACAGAACGGTCAACCCTCCAAGCTCAAAGCCACCAAGTTGCTTGAGGTCCCCGAAGGACAAGCTAGAAAGCATAATAGCATTAGTGACGGTCAGATTGCCAGTAATGACTTGTACACCGTCGACGGATAGCTGCTGATGGCCATTGGTGTCCTGTGGGGTGGCCAGGCCAGTCGGAATAGCGACGGAGCCGCTGTAGGTTGTGCAAGAGGCAAGAACGGAGGCATCTGCTGATGCTGTGATTGTCATTGTGGCGGCATTACTGCACTGGGCTGCGATCACCAAGTCAGCAATTCATAGTGCCAAATTTGACTCGGGGAGATGGTGTTGGACGTGGTGGAGACTCCAATGCAGGCGTGTCTCATGCGGGAGGGAAAGGAAAAGACTGTCTCACCTATGGCAGTGCTTGCAAAGGCGAGTGCCGGCAGAAGGTATGCTATGATGGCCATTGTGTGTAATATTTGATGGATACAATAACTAGAGACAAGCCAGATTAGGTTCCTGTAGACAATTGATGGGCAGGTCGTGAGGGTGACAGATGAGTGGCGAGAGGTGCTGGGGTAAACATGGGACCGCGACGAGCAATGTGCACGGTGCAAAAAAGGCGACGAGGGAGATGTGAGACTTACGAGAAGCAGTGGATTAAGAGCTGCAGATGATTGAGTGTGGTGATGATTAAGTGCGGATAGAAGTGGTGGTTTAGTGGGAGAAGAGAGGAAGAGTTGTTGGGGAGGTTGGAAAAGATGCAGCGAACGTGAAGAAACGAAGGAGAAGGCTAATATTAAAGTAGTTAGAGGCCAACCGACGTGAAGTTCTGTTTGAACCTCAGAGGAAGGCGCAGCTGATGAATGTGAATGTAATTGATGAACGAGAGACAGGCACGACGACCTTGGTTGACTGATGGAGATTCAAAAAGATTCCTGGCAGGAATTCTTGGGGGAAGAAATTAGGAAGTAGGAAAAGAGAAGCGGGAGCGAGGCTAAAAAAAATAACTTGGCGGGAAAAAAGGAGACCCTTGCCTATTTGCCTATTAGCGTTGCCATCGCCAACGAGGACTTGGCGGCTCCGAATCCGCCAGAGTCCTTGCTGTCCTTGCTGCACCATACCCAACACAGCTACCATATTCAGAGCTCCCGACCCACCTTGATACTATCCCTCTTATTTAATTGGTGTAGATAAGCAACACTATTGAAACCCTCTTCATCGACTTGATAGCGACACCATTTCTACGCTCCGTACTACACCGTATGCTCCAGTCTACGCAACCTCGAATGCGTTGAGTCTTGACATTGACTCTACTTCGAATGACAAGCTTTACCCTTGCCACCGACGACATTTTGAACGGAGTAGGAAACCAAATACACTATGGAGATGGGAAGTGGGAGATAGACGCTTCAGGATGGAGCTACCTAGTGTTATCTATCTCTCTGGGGAAGCTCGTGCATTTGTGCACTGACAGGTGATAAGTTCAAGATACGCCTATCCCTGCAAGATCTTTGTTAGTGTAGTACCCAGCACAAGAATCCTTAGGGGAGGGCGTGCCTCCCGCAGCGACCGAGGGATGGCGGTCTTTGGCACGGTTGTTCTGTTATGGAGTTTATCCAAAGGCGCAATAGTCGGATTCTCGGCTGCGGCAGCTCCAAATCTACAGGCAGTCTGGACTCCACCCTGTAGCGTGTACTCGTCACCAGTGGCAACTGCACGCTTCCGTGAGTTTGCGAAGACGACAGCTGTCTTGCCATCAATCGATCAATCTCCAATTAACGTACAATAAGGTATCAATAATATTAGTACTCTGTATGGGGTCAGACCAGACCGTTGCTGAAACGTTAATCCCAGAGCAAGCAGGTAATTTGTTTCGCAAGGCCGCTAAGGTGGATGATCTGCATTAAAGCATTGAAGCAAATCTCACTCGACGCCTCAACCGTCCATGCCAAGTACCATCACCCCCCAATAATTTCCGCTGTCAAGATTTAAAGCAAAGTAGCACCAGGAGGGAATCGTTCAGTCGTTTGCGTAGCGTTAGGCAGAATATACAGATCTACCCAGTACAAAATGTCGAATCCAAGACTCCGTGCTAGCCCTGAAGGTGGAAAAAGCTAAGGCTGAATACATTACATTAGAAACTTTGCTTGATAGCCGTAACAAGCCCTTCAGTTTTTGTTCGAGACACGGATTGAGTCTCAAGCAGATTGTTGGTAGTACGGATGTATGCATACAACGTGCGACGGTCTACTAGTACGACCTTCGGCTTTCTGTATGTAAATCAAATAGATGTATGCGTATGAAACAACGCCATGACTATTTGTACACTTCTGTACTTGTGGCTGATCTTTTCTAAGCACTTATATAATTACTCAAAGCTACCAACACATTGACGTTGTACAACGACAAGCCTTGTGACTCGGATGCCTTAACTTTATTCCCCGTTCAATGTGTTTCGTTTCACGATTTCGACATCATCCCGTAATCGTGCGGAAAATGACTGCCCAACGTAAATTGCGGAGCAATACGTCCCCCAATCACAGTACAGTGGCCGTGCCTAGATCTCAACATAAAGATCGTGCTTCCGAACAGAATAGCTTAGCAGAAGGACCGACGGCTGCGACTGGAGCGAGGACATTAGCAAAGAAGAGGCAAAAGCGATCATACAAGTCTGAAGGGAATTCCACATCTCCCCAAGTGAGAAGAGCTCGAACCCAGACACCTGAGCCCCAGCAAAAGTCGTTGAGCCAACATTCACAAGATGCTTCACTGGTGCCCAACCACGTACCAAGGAAGAAAGCTGTATTGTCGTTCGATCGGCCTGCTGAGCCCCACAGGACCAATGCCCCACTGAAAACGCCTAGGGGATCGCGGCTTGTCACATCTAACAAGGAGACCGCTGAGGCTTCTCCATCTAAGACCGGAATCCCAAGACCGGCAACCTCAACGAGTCATATTCTAGACGAAGCTTGTGCTCACCTCGTCAAGATGGAACCGATGTTGCAGCCTCTTATCGAAAAGCACTATTGCCGAGTCTTCTGCCCTGAAGGTTTGGCTGAAGAATGCGATCCTTTTAAAAGTCTTTGTAGTAGCATAATGGCCCAGCAGGTTTCTGGTGCTGCGGCCTCGTCGATCAAAAGAAAGTTCGTAGGGCTTTTCCATGGGCCTCTTGACAGGGAGAGAGTAGAGGAAGCTAGAGTCTTTCCCACGCCTGCCCAGGTCGCGGCTTGCAGTGTTGCTTTCTTACGTCAGGCTGGCCTCTCGGAGCGCAAAGCTGAGTACATCAAAGGACTTGCCGAAAAATTTGCGAGCGGGGAGCTGTAGGTGTTCTCCAAGCCATAACTTCTTATCATGTACCGAAAGTTGAGTCGTGAGACATGTCTTGGGGGTAATTACTCCCCACTCATGTCTCACGACTTAAGATTCGATCTAGGAAAGGAAATAACTGATTGCGAGGATCTTCATTAGAAGCGCTGCGATGTTAATCAACGCCAGCGACGAAGAAGTACTCGGAAAGTTGACTGCCGTGAGAGGACTGGGCAAATGGTCTGTAGAGATGTTTGCTTGCTTTGGGCTGAAGCGAATGGATATCCTTTCTACTGGAGACCTTGGTGTTCAGTATGATCACTTCACATGCCGCATTTGAAAATGAGCTGATCTTTCAAGGCGAGGTATGGCCGCTTTCATGGGCAAGGACGTAAGAAAGTTGAAGGCCAAGGGCGGAGGTAAAGTAAGCAACTTCCCCAGCCCTTGGTTTCCTAATCCACACCATGATTTGAGTCGCAAGTCACGTTGCGAGAGTACATGGACTCCCTCAATAGTCTGACGACTCATTTCTTGACCTTGAAAAGGAAGTTACTGAATGGAGAACTCGCAGTGGAAGTACATGTCAGAGCAGGACATGCTTAAGCATTCTGAAAAATTTGCGCCATATCGAAGTATTTTCATGTGGTACATGTGGAGAGTTGAAGATGTGGACATAAACGTCGTCGAAGAGGCATGAAGAGTAGGCTAATCTTCAACCGCATTGGCTTGACAGCTTTACCGATCTTGTCAGTCAAACGGGATTCGCTTTTTTCCGCAACTCTGTGCATAATCGTGGCAAATATCTCTTGATTGCGTATAATCACGGCAGCCTACTGGAGCTCTGAAGGTACAATCAGACTTTGTAAGGACTAAAGCTGCAGCCTCAAGAAGTACCGGGTCGAGGACTCAAAGCGCCTCATTTCTGACGGAATATATCTCCCGGGTAGTGCAGAAAATAGAGGAATCCCGACAGCGCTTCGTTGGAGATAGAATGACCCAATCAATCACGCAAAAACAAGGGAATAAAGTACTTATTCCAACAAATCTCAGCGCAAAGTTGGTAAGGGTTGGCCACAGAATAGGAATGTTCTGGCCTAATCGGGAATTTGAGGCATTGAAACCGGAAGAATAAAATACTTGATATTCAATACTGTTTGCAGATTTCTCTTGTCCAAGTTCCACACGACCTTTCGAATCTGGTGGTACAGCGCATGCTCTTGTTTCAACCTCAAAAAAATCCAAATGTTCCAGGCTTAGATACCACAGTATCGCCGCATTGACATTGGCATCGCTACCTCTGGTAGACGCATGAAAGGCTTTTTGGAGAAGTTCAGATGTCCTTCATGTTGTTTCGCCTATGTACGGTAACAAAAAGGGCCCTTGAGCACAAGAGTGGCCCTCGTACACAATGAACAGTGTGTAGATGTAGCCCCAGGGTGTTATTGGCTTCTCGTTCCTTTTATTACTTCACTTCTTTCACTTCTTCCTCTTGCTAACAACCATGGCTTCCAAGTCATCGCGCTCCCTCGACTCGGCCTCGATTTCTTTGATAACAGGTGAAAGGTATGCGTAGTCCTATGAAGAATAAGCCTCTGGTGCGGACCGTGAAAGCTTCAAACGTGGTTCACCTCTTCCGGCTTCGTTTGCTGATCCTTGGGCAGAAGTTGGTGGGCAAGAGAGCACTTAGGCATGTCAGCAGCCGGCGAACCATCCAATCGAAGCAATGGATGTTATTTTAATATACCTGAAAAGCTCGTCGAAGTCGAAAGACACGGTCGTATGCTTCCTTGGGGGGCAGTCGTTTCAAGGCGAGTAGGACTGTATCAGACTCTTCGGGGATGAGATCATCGGCCCTTGAGGTCCTCTCAGTCAACTCGAGCTCTCCAACAAGTACTGAACGTGGAGATTCCAAAAAGTGGCGATGGAAGTTGCGCCACTCCACTACTCGGACGAGATGAATGGATGATTACCTGAGGCCCAGTTTCCTGTATCCCGCAGCATCTGCGTACCAATTGGCCAATGGCATCATCCAGCGCTTTAACCACGGTCTCTTGACAATGTATCCTGCGAGCGATGGTGCCGACATGATTGCCGATAGTTGACGTTGGGATGAACCTTAGTCCGGAGTATTGAGGTCTTGGGTAAAGGGATGCTAGAGATTGGAGGCTGCGTACGAGTAGTACGTATTTGTCTTCGGTACTGTACCGTTAGCGCCTGCGCCATCCAAGCTGCAAAGAACGATAGACCTGCCGCACCGCTTCGAGTAATTATGCTGTGCAGCAGAGAACAACAGCTCGAGCACAACTCGAGCAAGTATTAATCCCATAGGTGTGCCTTCTCCGCACGACAGTTGGCAATATTCAAAAGGCCCGAGCCTAGGTTGCGCTTCGCATTCTATAGATCGCCACCATCCTCCCTGATGCCCTCAATCGGGATGAAGCGGCCAAATCGTTGAAATCTTACCGCAGGATTGACTGCCAGCGATCGACGACTATATCCTGCCCGATGCCTTGCTGAGCCCTTCTTCGGCCTCTGTCTCCCCAGAGATGTCCATTGATCGGAATCACACCTCTCCAATCGCTGCTCAAGATACCGAGAATGGGAAATCGAGCCCGCCGAAGACCCGTCTCGAGCTTTGGGTAAGAAAAACACCGGAAGGTTATGTTGTCCCAATATCGGGGGGTCTTGCTGGTGCTGTGTCCGGACTAGTGAGCTGTCCGCTAGATGTGATCAAGACCAAACTACAAGCCCAAGGCGGCTTTCGAGCTTCAAAGGATGGGGTCAAGATTACTACTGCTGCGTATCGGGGTGTTCACGGGACTGCTGCTACAATATGGAACGAGGAAGGCCTTCGGGGCATGTACCGAGGGCTCGGACCAATGCTTCTCGGCTACGTGCCGACCTGGGCTGTCTATCTGACAGTGTACAACAAAGCGCAAGCTTTCTTCAGGACAAGAACGGGTAAGCTATTTTACCAGCGCGCCCGGAATTCAGCTCACCGAGGCTTTTTACTTAGACAATTGGTTCCTCGCAAACGTGTACGCTTCACTGAGCGGAGGCGCATGCTCGACCATGGCGACCAACCCCATCTGGGTCATAAAGACGAGGCTCATGTCTCAGTCAAGCTCGAGAATCGCAACCAACCATTCAAAAGCCCCTTGGCATTACAAAAACACCTGGGACGCCGCAAGGGTCATGTACCGCACAGAAGGCCTTCTATCTTTCTATTCAGGTCTCACGCCAGCTTTGCTCGGATTGACCCACGTCGCAATACAATTTCCTCTGTATGAAGTCTTCAAGGAGAAATTTACGGGTATTGGGAAAGGGCAAAAGGAAACCGATGAGGACCGGAGTCACCACTTCTACGGTTTGGCCATGGCCGTCTTCTTGAGTAAAGTTTGTGCAAGCACGGCCACCTATCCCCACGAGGTCGTTCGAACTCGTCTGCAGACGCAGCAAAGATCAGCTAGTACGCCTACATCACAGGGAATGCATTTGAGAGAAGGCTCAACAAAGTCAGGTGATCACGGACGGACCCCTGGGTTTATTTCACCTGTTGTAAATGAAATTCGATATCGAGGCACCGTGCAAACCTGCAAAACCATTCTTATCGAAGAAGGATGGCGAGGCTTCTACGCTGGCCTTGGGACGAACTTGATACGAGCTGTACCATCGGCCATGACGACAATCCTTACATTTGAATACCTCAAGAAGACCATGTTTCAACTGCAGCGCGACGATCAATCAAACGAGGGTGCACAGGGTGCACTTGGGCAGGCTGTTTCATAAGCTTTGTATTGTCAGTACCGCATGCCTAAGTCACCCCCACCATGGCCAGGATCCTATCAATTCAAGATACGCTTGATCAGCAGTGCGGAGCGTACGTTTTTACGTTTCCTTGAAAACATGTGGTTGAAAGCAAAAGTTGTTGGCAAGAATGGTCAAACACAGCTGTCGTTTTTTCTTCTCTTATATTTGAGCACGGCTGTTGCCCCAGGGCACAAGGAGTCATGCCTTTTTGAGAATCGAAATGACAGCTTTTGGTAAAAGTGGTATCCGCTTATAAATGCGTTGAATATGTGTACATAAGTGTTCTCATGGACGGCTATGCTTCAATGTTTCCAGATAGTAACCTCTGATCTGTGCTGCGGGCCATGTTCAGCTAGCCGAACACCTTCTCGAAACTTCCTCCGCAACTCTTCTATACATGATTTCATCAAAGTTCTGCCAGTGGTCTTCGTTCCCCCAAGCATCAACGCCATGGGCAATAGATCGTTAGGCGGCAGCAGCGAGCCTTCGAAGCCGAGTGACAGATATGACTTGACCTGAGTGGAAGCCGGACCCTTCGAAGCCTGATACTCTTATTGAGAATGATCGATCCACCGCCAGTCACAGCCATCCACCATTTTAATAGAATTGCTCGAAACGAGAGCCAATCACATCATCCACCATTGTCTCGCTTGCCTTTCCTCGCGCTCAGCACTTCCTTCTCAGGGGATTGCCGAATACCTTTTCCCGCTATCTTCCCTGTCTTGTCCTGTGTACCTGCGATCAACTGTACGATCGACTCTTGCTCCTCAGGCTTTTCCAAAGCTCCATGACGCCGCTGGCTCTCATTGTACCAGCTGATCTGACCTGCGCACATTTTGGAGTCAGCGGTATTTTCCAAAGGCAAAACTCAGACTCGTACGACAGGCCTCAGGAGTAGGAAGAGCCTTCTGCTCCGGAAATATGTCTTGTACCTCAGAACTCGGCACTAAAAAAGAAGAAGTTACTGCGAAATGTACGAACCTCCATCTGCCGCTCTGTGACGTTCGGCATTCCGTTTGGCAGCGTGGATTGATGAGCGAGTATAGACAAAGAGCAGGCCCGCCATTGTGAAGGCTACTATTGGTGTAAGAAGCGTCCTATGAAGTCTGCGGTTTAATTACAGTCCTGACTCCGACGGTGACATCTCTACTTGCCTGCCGTTGAAAGTTCTGGACAGCTTGATCTCGGAGAGGCGTTTGCCTCTTAAAGGCTTAGGGCTCATAACTCTGATCAAGCTGAGGTTTGTCAGTACATGCGAAGCATTGTCTCTAGGTGGGCGGATTTGTTCCGCACAATGCCGAAACATTTTCCCAGTCACCAGTTGACACTATCGAGCGCATCAAGCGCTCACTACAACAACCCATGCTGCCACGGTAAGCAGAGAATGAGGTGTCTCAGATGGGTAGATGAGATCGCCAAAACTGGCCCGTGGACCTGCCACAGATGCCTGAGAGGCAGCCAGCAACTATTTACCCACTTGCCCGCTTACACAACGAACTCTGGAAAATCGCCGTCATGGACCTTCTCTGCGCAGAGAGCCTATCACCCCAGACCAAGTTCATACGAGAGCGCCGTATTGAAAGACTTCACGTTGGAAAGACCTACGTTAAGTAGCCTCCCGTCCAGCGGATCCACATTGAAAGACTCTACATGGAAAAAGGTCCCTGTATCAAAGGGCAAAAGGCGTGGAGTGATCCTTGCGATACTTGCCATTGGATCAATGTGGGCAATTTCCGATGACGCAAAGCATAGATATATGGCAGTGAAGAGGACTTTACGTGTATTCTATGCGCTGGTTCGATGTCTCAGAGAGTATGGTTTACCCTCGGTTATCGGGCACCTTCAGCAATGCTACTTCCACAGCTGACATGTAATGTTGTAGCTACCAGTGCACCCTGAGATCCATGGCACAGGATGGGCATGAATGGCAGGCGGTACTAAAGGCATGTCACAAAAGATGTGCGGAACGTACCCTTGAGGTTTTGGAGCAAAACGGTTCAATATTTATCAAGCTGGGCCAGCACCTGAGTAGCATGAACTACCTGCTACCAGAAGAATGGACTAAAACGTTTGTACCGCTACAAGACCATTGCCCAGTGTCATCGTACGATTCCATAGCAGCCATGGTTTTAAAAGACACGGGGTCACCACTTGACGAACATTTTGACCATTTTGCCAAGACACCTATCGGTGCAGCATCGCTCGCACAAGTTCATTTGGCAACCATGAAGGCCACTGGCCAGACAGTCGCTGTGAAACTGCAGCACCCAGCCTTGGAAGAATGGGTACCACTTGATCTATTTTTGACGCGGACAACGTTTTCAATAGTCAAGTTCTTTTTTCCTGAATACGACCTTGAATGGCTTTCGAACGAGATGGAGTCCTCTCTTCCCCTAGAATTGGACTTTGCTCTCGAAGGGAATAACGCGTTGCATACGAAGGAGTACTTTTACAAGATGCACGACTCACCATTGGTAGTACCTGACGTTATATGGGGTATGAAACGGATCCTAGTCATGGAAAACGTGTCTGGTCATAGGACTGACGATTTGCGCTATCTTGACTCCAATGGCATTGATCGCGACGAGGTCTCTGCGGCCTTAGCACGTATCTTCAACGAGATGATATTCGGGGACACGCCTCTCCATTGTGATCCGCACGGTGGGAATATAGCGATTCGCAAGAATAACGACCGAAGGAAGCCTAACTTCGACATCATACTCTATGACCATGGACTGTATAGGGATATACCAAAGCAGCTTCGGCGAGATTACGCGAAGCTTTGGCTTGCAGTCATAGATGCTGACGAAATTGGTATGCGCAAATACGCATACGACGTTGCCGGAATCACCGACGACCAATTTCCCTTGTTCGCGAGTGCTATCACTGGAAGGGACTACATAAATGCCACTAATTCAGTAGTGTCTAAGAGATTAGATCAGGAAAAGGAGGAAATTTCTGGTGCCATGGGAGAAGGGATGCTGCAGGAGGTGATTCCCTGGTGGACGTCTGTAGATGAAGAATACCATGGCTGACGAAAGAAAGCTGGTCCAACTTTTGGGCAAAGTGCCGCGGATCATTCTTCTGATCTTGAAAACAAACGATCTCAGTATGTGCTTATCGCCCTCGTCCAACTTCCTGGAAGTCGCTTGCTAATTCCATGAAGCTCGCAGCCTTGACGAGAATCTGCACACTCGAGAAGGTCCGGTCCGTAATTTCATGATCTTAGCTCGTTATTGCAGTAAGACGGTATTGCAGGAGCAAGTGGAAATCATTAGCCAGAATGGCAGTATCTGGTGGCCCTCCAATCTTCTCCGGCTCGTGGGGGCTTGGACGTTTTTCATGAGGGTGGAAGTCAAGCTATCTGTGTACGAGTATTACATCTCTTTTCGGCGTTTTGCAAGCCTTTCGCCAATTGCAAGCATTTAGCGGGATGTTGTTGGTCGAAGTGATGCATCAAGAAATCTGAGTGGATGCGTGCACTCCACATTCTCGAGATTTGACGAGGGGACAGACTTTGTCGTAACAATAATAATCAACATTCAAGCTATTACTCGTATCTTGTTGCAGAAAGGAGGACAACGCTACGCGCGGGCCAATTAATGCAACTTGACGTCACCAGAAGGCTCCTCCGCCGAAACACAAAAAGCAAATTGTGTTGGTGCTGGGCTGAATTATGTCTGTGGTTTCCACCAGGCCATTAACTCTTTGCTACATGGCTTCTATGAGTAGAGTACCTCCCCCACATCTAATGCTCAACTAGCTCCCATGTGCATTTAAAGAGCACACTTCTGTCAGCATGGAAAAGCAGGTGGATAGGCTCGTCCAGAAAACTTGGAGTGAGCAATCGACCCAAGTCAGCGTCCATTGTCGTCCAAGCTATGATCATGACCATTTCAAGTCAAGTACAAAGCGACACCGAGCTCAAAACGCCTTCTCATAGCCGTGTCTGGTATTCCTGGATCAGGTACGCAATCTCGAATTATCAGCTAGCGCCTCTTCTGCCTTTGCTCTAATGCTCATCTTCTCCTCCTGCTCATGCCCCTCACTTACACGTATTGTAGGCAAAACAGCTCTTGCCAAACTCGTGACAGAGGGGCTTAATGCTATTCACAATGAGCAAGCTCCTGGCTGCGCTTCCACCCCCGTTGCAACATCTGTCCCTATGGACGGCTATCATCTTTCCCGTGCCCAACTGTCAGCAATGCCGGACCCTACCACAGCCCATCATCGCCGAGGGGCAGCGTTCACATTTGACGACAAAGCCTTTCTTGAGCTGGTCAAAGAGCTGCGGAAACCACTTTTGCCAGAATCGAAGACCGTCTACGCACCGTCGTTCGATCACGCCCTTAAGGATCCGGTTGCTGATGACATTCAGATACATCCCTCGTCAAGAGTTGTGATTCTGGAAGGCAATTATTTAAGTTTGAATCAAGAATTGTGGAAAGAGGCCGCAGAGTTGATGGACGAATTGTGGTTTCTAGAGGTGGATTTTGAAACGGCAAGAAGACGATTAGTGGTGAGGCACGTCGTGGCTGGCATTGCAAAGGATGAGGAGGAGGCAGGTAACAGGGCTGATGAGATTGATCTGGTTAATGGGAGGCAGATTGTGAATCATAGACTGGAGGTCCAAGAGGTAATAATTAGCAAGGAAGATGAAAGTTGGCGCCCCGGAGGACAACGAGATCCAGAGTAAATGATTGCGCATTTGGGAAGAGCTTACTGTGTCTGTATAGGAGGGTTCCTGAAAAGATAGAGCTACGAGGTCAGGGGAGGTACAATCGAAATGAAAATTTACGAGTATATCTATTGCATCTCGGCTGAAAGGCGGCCTCGACCTCGATAGCCTCCGTTCATCTATCCATAAGTATAATACATTTGATAACGAATTGTTTTCAACAAAGGCTCTGAGAGAATACTCCCATGTTTCGAGCTGCGAGCTGTCTCGATGCATCAGGCAATCGGCTGGGTTTGCTTGCTACTTGATACCCTCCGAACGATCAAGAGGCGAGACAAAGGCTACCGAGCAAAATTCTCTTCGCGTGGGAATACCAAGCTGGGGAGAAACGAAAGTAAAGCGGGTGGATCCGCCCAGCGAAACAGCCACCGGTGCAATGTGACGAGCTCCTCGTGCATTCGGGAAATTGCTTCTGTGAGACAATCTTAGTGAGTGTGCCGTGCCGGTAAATGGGTTGCTTTTAACGTAGAACCATCGCCTCCATCTCACAGTCTCTCTCGAAGTGTGCGCCCACCCGTACCCACGTGTCTTGCTGCGGCAACTGGGCGTTCTTCGGAAATTTGTCCTTCAAGTCTGTGTAGGTTGGCCTCCATCTGCTGCAATTCCTGTTCTCGTTCTAACATCCGCCTACGCCTCGCAAGATGCTCGTCCCGATATTGCTGCTGATCCAGTCTCTGAGACAGTGCTTCAATGCGATTGGCTTGGCTCTCAACTTGTGCAACTTGCGCGTCGAATGCGTCAACAGAGTCGTCCTCGGAGTCGTCGTACTCCGCTGGACAGGCTTCAACTTCAGTATTGGTGGAAGGTGCCGTAACCACAGTACCATATGATGATGTGGGATTGGATGAGGGTGAATTCGACGACGCCGCCGCTGACGTGAAAGAAGAATGGGCGCTAGGAACCCTTTCATCTGGTGGTATGGTTGTGAGGATAGTCTCCCATTGATCGTCATCCGGACTGAAGCTTCGCTCCCGGTCACCAAGGCCGTCAAAATTGCTCTGATGATGACGCCTACGTGCAGGCCTTGGTATTGCTTGGATAGGACGACTCATCCGACGTAGACGAGGAAGCTCAGCCAAGTCATGGTCTCTCACTCTGCGCATCAGCTCCAAACGCGTCTCTACCAACTCTAGATACGCTGCTTCTTGCTCGCGTACCTCTGATGTAAGCGCATCTTGGTCGAGATCCCTCATTCTCGCGATCTGCGCAGCGTGTGTTGCGATGCCGCCGCGCTCACCGCTATCTATCATTTCCGCCATTCTTGACGAGAGCCGCGCGAGGACTTCCTCGCGCACGGCGTTAGCTCGAGCTTCGTCCTCGCCATCTAGCCTATGAGCTGGTGCGAATCTAGGAGTGAGCAAGGCGGTACCCAACGGCGGCGAGGGAACATATAGAGTGGACCGATTTGAGGTGTCGCCTGACGTGTAAGAGGGTGTTGGCAAATATCGCGGAGGTGGCGACCTTGCTTCATCTGCCCTGGCTGAGGTCTGTGATGCTTCAATATCCTCGGCGCCAACTGGCCGCCAAAGGGCTGTCGCTGTAGGGGCTTCGGAAAATGTTGTTTGTCGAGAAATCCTCAGGCGCCGGCCAGGGCGCTCGTAGCTCAGCGCATCTCTCAGCAGTGCGCGCCCACTCTCTAAGCGGCTGCGCTGGCTTGCTTCAGAATGTGCTAGGTCTGCCTCTGCTTCGACATCATGAGCATCGGTAGGATTAGATATCGATGAAGTGGCGCTTCGATCTTGTCGGCGTATATCCTCGAGCAGTGAGCGTCGATCCGCTAGCACTCGCATGGGACCTTGGGAGCGATTTCGGCTATGGGACAGTAGTGTGGAGAGGGTTGATTGATGATCGCGAGCGTTTGGGCTGTATCTAACGGTGCGTTGGCGTCGAATGGCTGATCGCGCCGGGGCCGTAGGATCTGCTTTAATAGTGGTCTTGGAGTCGCTGGCGTCAGGCTCGCAAAACATTCTGTTTGAGGATGACGATTGATTAGCATAACATTCGTGGCCTTGAATTTTGAATGCCTAAGCATAACGAGGCAGCTAAGCACGCGAAAGATAAACGCAGGCGCAAACAGCACCGCGACAATTACGACCTATCAACTTACCGTAAACCCATCGAGCAGATTTGACGCGAAGATACCAATGAGGCGAGAAATGATATCTCGAATACGACCAAGATAGCTTTATCTTCATATGAAGGTGAGCGACAGATGAACTTTGCGACTGAGAACAGTTGAGACTGAGAGCCTGAGGAGCAGGCGGAAGGGAGGGCGGGCTAGCGATCACTGGTAGGGCTGGCGTTTATGCGACCCGGCCCCTTGAGATTGAGTTTCGAATCACAAACCCTGCTACAGTGCTAATTCATAACATTATGAACACGACACTGAATAGTGTTGTACTAGTACACGTTCGGGTGAAGCTTTCATGAATTCGAGCAGCAGCTGAACTCTACACTGAAATGGAGATGGCACCACTTCTGCCATGATTGAATTAGGCCTTGCGCGGATCACTCGACTCTTGAAAAACACCCCAATTCCATGGCGCGCAATACATGTTGCAGGCACCAATGGCAAAGGCTCTGTGTGTGCCTATGCCTCGGCAATGCTGAATGCTGGGAACATCAATTGCGGCCGTTTCACGTCTCCACACCTGATTGATAGGTGGGACTGCATCACCATCAACGAGAAAAGCGTGGATGAGGATTTCTTTCGCGAAGTTGAGGCCGCTGTGAAGACGAAAGATCAGAGCGAGGACATCCAAGCCTCCGAGTTTGAGATCCTGACCGCTACAGCATTCGAAATATTTAACCGAGAGAAGATAGAGATCGGTGTTGTCGAGGTTGGTTTGGGTGGCCGAAACGATGCAACGAATGTCCTCGAGCATCCGGCAGTCACTGTAGTTACCAAGATAGGGAAAGACCATCAGTCCTTCCTTGGAAGCACCTTCGAAGAGATCGCAATGCACAAGGCGGGCATCATGAAAGCCGGCGTGCCCTGTATTGCGGACGGAAGTAATACGACAGGCGTCCTTGAGGTTCTGAAGAGCAATGCAGTAGAAGTCGGTGCTGCCTCGTTGCTTCTTGTTCCTCAAGACGCCGATCCAGCTGGTCAAGTCTGGAACGTCGTGGCCAAGGAAGAACTCATGGACCACCAGCAGATGAACATATGTTTGGCGTTTGAAGCTGTCAAGGAGGTGCTTTCCCATTGCTATCCATCATTGGACCCGCTCCGGCTGTTGCCTTCGATCCCAAATGCTGTTTGGCCGGGCCGTCTGCAGAACCTCACCATCAAATCTT